CAATGCAGCCACAGTCACCGCGTCTGCGTTCAGCTTGCTGAAGCTCGTTGTGGACATCGTCGAGAGCGACAGTCGAACTGTCAGTATCATACCACGAACCCAAGTAAAGGTAAAATTTTGTTGCGCATTTTTCTGCTTTTTGCATAAAAATATATAAATAACAACCCTCAATGTTGCATAGGAAGTCCATGTTGACGCAAACTAGGTGAATAAGAAGGTGAAGCAGTTAGAAAACGTATGCCCTTGAACCGCCTACCACCGCTTGTTTGTTGAATATGCACCAAAAGATTCACTATCAGTATAAAATGATACACACACAAATTACCGTATCTGCGCCCACCATGCTGCGGGGGAAACGGTGGACATTGGCAGTAAAGACGGCCAAACGGTTGCCATAAAAAACTTCGTCCTCAAATGTTATCCTTAAAGAATTGGGTATATTCATGACTGAATAATTTTAAAGCTGACTTCACATTGCGCTTGGGTTTAGGCTTTCCAAAACTTATGACGTGCTTTTTCTGTTGAAAAGGTTTTTGGAACTTGAAGATACTCTAACTATATGCATTTTTTGACCTTCGTTGCGATTTTCGTCTTACACCGGTAATGAAGTTCCGTGTTGTTCGAGTCTATACTTATGACCCAAACGGATATGTGCATGTACAGGGAAACATGTGACTTTCCGTATACGAAAAACACGCAGGAAGTTTTTAACTCCTACATGCAATTGGATTTGGGTCCACTATGATTTGGGAACCAAAAACCCTCCTTAAAACCTTCGTACGCTTTATAGAGAATTACACTCGAAGAAAAGATAATCCATTTCTGAATGATTACAGGAAAAAATGTGATGCATGTTTTCTGTAAAATACATCAGTGAACGCTGATCGCTCATCAAAAATGTCAATATTCCTTATCTCAAACGGCAGGACAAAGAGACCGTGGGGCGGTAGATTAGAGAATTTAACTTCTAATCAACAAGAGGTGGTTTCCTGTTCATGGCCTCAACACTTATTCCCTGCTTCTTTTTTGCAAAATTCGACGAATTTCCGCACTTAATCAAAAGCTTTCGATAAATTGATTTTTTCTCCATAAATGAGGCAATCACTTTGACCGCGAAAATGATTGGCTGATGGAGATTAACGAGAAATAAAGGATTTACGTGTTTGGTCTCGAATCGTGTAAATAAGAAGGTCAGTATAAGAGTGAAAATGCTAAAAGAACGTCTTTTTGTAAAAGGTGGTTACTGGCGAATAGGTAGTAGTCATTGTTTTCTCCAAGAAATAGCATCGTCCTTGCGCACAACTGCTAGTTTGCGAAACCGAAACATAGTCTTGCCCTGGAATTTCGCCTATGAGTGTATGATTACCCTGGTTAAATCCAAAAAATGCAAGAAATCAACCTCAAACCGATGTATGGCAAAATACCATGGCTCTGGTTAAGAGAGCTACCGTTCGGGCGCTGTTTGGTCTTGTGCAACTGCACAGTCGGCAAACAAAAACAGACTTTACGATTCGCACACCAGGATATCATTTGACCGAATATTCGGACTGTTGTGCAGCATAATTGAGTGCTGTTCATTTATATTTTCTGGATAAACAGCAGATTCGCTCTCGTAAAAAACCAACAACTTTTATGAAATACTCAGCTATATTGACGGAAGGTTTGAAAGAGGGGGCAACGGCTATGTTAAAAGTTGTGCGATCGAGGAAAAAACTTAGTTTATGGTTATAATGACACGTAAAATATTTGCAGCAAAATATTAGTTGAAGATGATATTAGTATAAAGGAATCACTTAGTGGAAGATTTAGGGAATTTTAAAATATCTTAAAAAGGAACAGCATGCTTCTTAGTAATAGGTTCCTGTGAACATATTCTTTTAACTAAGAGCAAATAGAATCATAAAACGAACAAGGGCGCCGATTACTAATGAAACATGAGGATGGTAACGCTTCTCTTTTGCCCTAGTACTACCTCTGTATATATTCAAAATGTTTGATAAAAAGGAGTAAAATTTGATTCTTAGCAATAAGACAAAACGTTGCAAGAACTTTTAGATGCAGTAGCCGTGACCACTAAGTATAAGAACGAGATCACCCATAAAGAATAAACGTAATAGATGAAATTGCGGAACCCAGCACGTCTTTGAGGGATGTTTTATGCGCCTTGTAAACTATGGAAATTATAAATAGAAGGAGATACCGCCCA